AATAGAGAAAGCACCTGATCCAAATTTAAAGACCTCAAGCAAGAAAGAATGCCCCAAATCCTACAGGGAGTTTCTCCTGTGCTTGATTACTTTCACTATTAAAAATGTGCTCCTTAAATCCATCCTGATGTTTTTAGCCTTGACTTCCTACCATTTTCTCTTCAGCCCTGTTCACAATAAAAGGAAATTCTTTGGCCTCTCTGAATAAATGAGTTTTGCCATGGAGGTCTAGAAGGCCAAAACCTTACATGCATTAAACCACGAGGTGGATATGAAATGTCTAAAACAACATTTAGATAAACAACTGCACCAAGCACAGCGAAAGGAGAGAAACCCAAGTGCTTCTGGGCAGACATCGACCATCAGTCAGCAGGAGCAAGAAGAAACCTTCCTTGAATTGTTTTTTAAACAATCTGTGGAATTTTTCCCTACAATACCTGGCTCTGGCTGGTTCCTGATGCTCTGATCCCCTTGGCAGAGAGGGCCCTTCGTTGACCAAGTCCCTGCAGAGCCCCTGGTGCCGAAGAGCTTTAGGGCTTGTGTCTGTGCAGGGCTTGTATCTCTATCTTGAATCATCGAAAATCCCACCCAGAGGGTGTGACAGAGCCCAGTTTGCTGTAGTCAATGGAAACATTATCGTGACCAAAGGGTCTCATTTGTTCCCCGGAGCCTGAAATTTGGGGTTGTTCCTGCGCAGACGATGACCCGAAAAAGATCAGAGAGATTTTCTCCATCTGCGCCTCCTGAAAATGCGTCACTCGTGTGAGGAGCAAAGAAACATCAGATTTTGGGGCAGCACACTGAGTGTTTGCCCTGATTCTTCCCAGTTTGACTCTTCTGGACATGGTGGGAGAAGTCGCTTCCCCAAGGGCTGAGCCCACAGCTGCAGCCAGAGCTGTGCCTGAGCTTGTGGTCAGTCCTGCCATGGTGATCAGCCCTGCTCTGATGGTCAGCCCTGTCCTGGTGGTCAGCCCTGCTCTGGTGGTCAGCCCTGCTCTGGTGGTCAGCCCTGCTCTGATGGTCAGCCCTGTCCTGGTGGCCAGCCCTGCTCTGGTTCATCCCTCCCAGCAGCACAGGGCCCTCCTGCCATCCCCTGGCATCCCTGGAGCTGGGAAGGGCTTGGCTGGATCTCTGTGTTGGAAGGGCTCAGGAGGAACTGTTCTCCCCCGTACACCCTGCCCTGCTCAGCCCCCCACGGCAAAGGGCTGCCAGGAGCTGGATTTATGGCAACCAGAGCCTCCTCTACCTGTTTGTTGTGCCCATGAAGCTCTGCAATGGCCCTGACGAGAACAGGAAGGGAGAGCAGAGAGGAGGCGTCTCAGCTGAGGCAGGAAACCACAACAGGAAGCATCAGTGGTTCACAGCCAGGGTGAGGGACCAGCAGAAACCATCCCAGGCACAGCTCAAATCAGCCCAAATTGTGAAGGTCCTGTCACCAAATTCACCAAATGGAGCAAAGTGGGGTCTGGGCACAGCTGCCAGCCTGGAACGTGGAGGTGAATGGGAACACCCTGAGGCTCAAACCCAAACTGGAGCTGGTGCTTGGGACCGAAGCAAAGCATCCTAATCCTGTGATGCCTCCAGGAATCAAAGCCCAGACTGGTTCCCAGAGCTGGTTGCCCAGGTTCAGCTCCTGGGAGCAGCTGGCTGCCAGCTCTGCCCAACCTCAGCCTGCTCCCAGGGGAGGGCAGCTCCCAGGAAAATGGGCTGAAGGAGGTGAGCAGTGAGGATTGCAGCTCTGGGGCTTAGCCTGGCAGGTTCATGAGTCAAGTTCATGAGGAAGAGGAAATGCTGAGTGGGCAGAGGGACGTCGATGGCCTCCTGTGTGAGCTGCTGCTTCCCACTGGGATAAACACCCATGAGATCTGCACCCAAACCTGCTGAATCCCTTCTCTGGAAAGTCCAAGCTCAGAACATCACAGCAAATGGAACACCTTTGTCGGTAGCTCAGCCAGGTGAAAATGAGAGGGCAGAAGTTATTGATGACATGCGGGCCCTCACAGAATTTCCAGCTGCCCACACAAGGTGCTCTGTTATAAACAGGTTGTTTTTCCTCTCCAAACACAGGGTTTGGAGTGAAGAAACCCTCACAGAGACACAGGAGAGGGACCCAGGGCTCAGAGGTTGAGTCAGACGGTGCCACCCAAGCCCTGCTACCACAGATCAGCCCTGGTAGGAAATTGCTGAGAAAAACCATCCCAGTCCTGAGATGTGAGGAAAAGTCACCCCCTGAAGCTTGAGAGCAGATTTGAACAGGAGGATTTATAATCCCTCTGAAGTTCTTACTTTTAAAGGTTTGTCTTGCAGCCCTGGCTGGTTTTATTGCCCACACAGCAGCTCAGGGTCTCCTCTAATTCCTCTTCCAAACTCCAGCTCTGTTCCTTGGCACCAGCTCTGGGTGGACCTAAGCAACCCTGAACAATCTCAACAGACCTGCACAAATCTCCTTTAACTTTGTTCTCCCACGCTGCCAAATGCAGCCAAAAATGAGAACCAATTTCCTGGAGTAACACCTGAAAGAACCTGTGCAAGGGACCCTCCACGTTATTCATTTCCATTATCAGCCCCTCATTTTTCCAGCTCAGTCTGTGTCCCTGGGGTGCAGGTGCTGGGTGTTCCCTTGGGTTTGGGTGGTCCCACAGGCTGGGCTCAGGGAGCAGGGCTGGAAGCCCAAGGCTCCTCTGGTGATGGCCACGTTGGCAAGTTGGTGTCATGACGTGAAGATGCACCCAAAAAAACAACCCTCGCACGAAATGAGTTGGGTTTGTGCCCCAAGACACAGGAAAGGCAGGCAGGAAGCCATGGAGATATCACATCTATTTATAGCTGGCCACTCGTTTTGACTCAGATCAGACAAGAACCAGCAGGAACTGGTTTGATTTTATAATTTCCCAGAACAGCACTTGGTGCAAATCCGGGCCAGTTCCCAAGAGCAGGGGGTTGTACTGGTGAAACTGGAGCAGCACTGGCAAGATTCAGCATCCTGTTAAGAGCAAGTTTTCTGTCTCCTTGTCCTGGCAGCAATAACCCCACACACCACAAAGAATCCCTGATACCACACCACAAAAAATCCCTGATACCACAGTCCTTGGCTGTGCCTTTAGGGTGGTTGGGACAGTCTGGGGGGAGCAGGGACCTGCCTGGAGGGGATCAGGTGGGGAAGGATGGGAATCATGTGATGGGGAACCAGGAGAGGTAAAAAGGAGGATTTTGGGGGCTTCTGTCCTTTGGGGGTTTGTGTTGCCAGTGTGGGATGTTTTTAACAATTCCCTAAATGGAGTTTAACTGGGGAAGGGAGGGAGAGGCAGCTCAAGGGAAGTGCCAGGAAAATGTTCCTGGGGGTGGCTGAGAGGGGAGTTCAGCCTGGGATGGGCCTGGGGGCTCTGAACTGCTCTGGGGGTTCCTTCTGCTGCCCCTCAGGGCTGGGGTGTCCCATGAAGAGGCTCCAGGGTGGCTTCTGATGGGCAGGGCACAGCCCAGGTTTGGGACTGCCCATCCCAGCACAGGTGGAGGCACGGGGTGGGTGTGGGGCACCAGCTCTGCCCTGAGCTCCCCTGGCCTCTGCTGCCTCCTTGTCCCCTCCTGATGCCAAATGGCCACGGAGCTGCTTCTCGTGGTGCCTTGCCTGGTCCCACCTGTATTTAATGCCACAATAAATGCACTTTCAGAGGTGATGGGCACGGCCAGGGACCTTCTGCCTGTCCCCATCCCTTCCCTGCATTTCATTCTCTTGTTCCTGGTTTCTGGTTGAAGATAAGAAAGGCTGGAAAACACCTGCAGTGTCCAAGTTGCCTTCCCAGATGGTTCATCCCAGAACTGGCTGGGACTGTGCAAGAGGAGGAACTGAGGAGCTAATTCCTGGAGGATTCCTGGGTTTGGTTTTATTTTTTAATTCATAAATAACAGAAAACCTCCAATAATTTTGATTTAACTTGCAATAACTTTGATTCAATGCAATATCTCTTAGTTCAAAGAAAAAACTGAAAAACTTCACCTTGCCTTGACCTGGCTACATGCTTCTAATTAGTGATTAATTATTTATGCACTCCATGGTAGGTCGTCCCAACATTTAGGAGAGTGACATTCCTGGCTGGAGCTGCTGTTCTGCCCTCCCTGCTGGCTGCTCAGCTCTTGATTAACACTTGAGCTGTGTGGGAGTGGGAGTTTGTGAGAGCTGAGCTGTGTTTGTGCTCACAAACACGGGCTGTGTGCAGATAACGATCTGCTCTCCTGCTCAGGAGCTCACTGACTCACAGCTGCCCCAAAATGGGTGAGTTTACAGTAAATCTGCAGGAAAACCTCCCTGATTCCCACCAAGGAGCTGCTCTGCTCTTGCTGGCCTTGAGCCAAGCTGAGTCCTCAGTGCCCCAGGGCTGCCTGATGCAGAAATTCTCTATAAAAAAATCACCAAGGGCAGAAGAGACCTCCA